TAGAAATGTAATGAATGAATTGTTCTGGTGTAATTTTACAGACAACAATGAAATGATTGATCAAGAAACACTGACAATGCAATATAATGACATCTGTCAATGTCTCTTTCATAGGAATATGAAACAATTTATAAAATAAGAAACATGGACGTTTTTTTGATAAATACATCAATTTCACATCCATATTTCTTTTATCAAAATCAATCAAATGTGTTTTCTTCTGCCTTCAATCTTCTCTTCATAGCTGCAACCATTTTGACAGTTCTTGACAGGTTTTAGACTTCAATATCAGTCATCAGGACCTCATCTTCAGCAGCCCAGTGTAATGAAAATGTTCCTTTGTATGGTATAGGTTTCTGAAATCAACTGCAATGCAGAGAAATCCTGCAAGACATTGAGAGTTTAGATTATAGATGATCAATCATGTTTGTTTGAAGTCGTGTGACCAATTTTTATTAAGTTAGTAAGATTTTATCAAGGTAAACTTCTATGTGGATAGCATAATCAGTCTTGGCAGAGCAGGTGATAAATGTGAGAAAATTTCTTATCTTTGCTTTTTCTTACATCACATTAAAATGCAATGCAATATTTCAAAGGAGTTTGTTGATGCTATATGCTTATATTTATGATAACAGTATGTAATATCCTATGAAAAGGCAAGGACATTCAAAAAGATACTTTGAATATTGGTAAGAAGCTCTCTGCATTAGTTTGATCTTATCATAAAACCAAAATTCTACTGAATAAAATTTAGATGGTTGTGTATGTAACAGTTATTTGTTTGCTTCCAATTCGTAGAAAAGTCAGTCTGCTACATTTGTACATTAGTTCTATCGATTGGGACCTTAATACAAGAGATCCTCAAGGACCTTGGCAACCACCACTGTATGATCTTTAGTGGACAGTCCTGATTTGTTAGATGTCTTCCCTTCTTTCCTCTTGACATGTTGTTCTAACAGAGGAAATTGATATCAAAAGATCAGGCAAACCTAACTAGAACACAACTAGGGACTAAGTGGAACCTCTTTCCAACAACAAGTATTGACAAACTTTTATTGGGAAAAACATATTGGTCACCTGTAAGCCATCCACTCCCTCTCCCCCACTCCATCCCCCCATTTTGATCAATCCAAAGAAAAGAGACGAGGAGCTAATGTTGATAACCTGGCGTTAGCGTTGGTTTCTGGTACAAGTCATGAAAGGCATCAAGAAAATGCTGTATAAGTGTACTATGCTACTGATATTTGATTTTAGGGTTTCTGTGGGTTTAATTTGGCAAGATAAAAAGGTGCATATAAGCACCAAGGGGAATCTTCAGACAAAATAAAATCCATTCAATTCCTTTCTGGAAATACCAACGAACTAATTTTTTTGTTAAAAATACAAGATGGCCACCTGTCAGCTATTGTTTTTATCTGATCTGACAGTTACAAAATCGAAAGGGTATAACTTGAGTCATGGCAAATCTTATTAACTGAAAGAAGATCCATCCAGTGACATTTGTTTCAGGATAAACCAAATGACCACAGACAAAAGGCGATATGAATTGCTCACCATGTGATGATGAAGGGCTAAAGACATCCAGAGATATGCAAGAAATCTTTATTTTAAAAAACCTTGTCTATTTGTACGTAGCAATAATTTGGTAATTAACTCTATTCCTATATCTATGCTCAAATTAATCATATTTGCTATTATTGATAAGAAATTCTGAAATTATACTCAACTATTCAAAGGGATTACATGTTTAACTTTTTAGCTTATTTTCACACATTTTAACTGTTTGTTAGATTTTCTAAGGGCCTCTATACACAAGTTTCCCCCAATATGCAATAAATATGAAGTTAGTCAAATTTTTTCAACAGTTTTTTATTATTATTATATTTTCAACAACCCAAAGGAAAGGAATCTTGAGTTCTGCCTTGAATATTGTCTTGGTAGGATCATAAGCATAATGCCTATTAAATTATGCTGTTTGGAATGGCAAGTGTGTTTAATTAGGGCAGACTTCAATTACAAAACACGTGTCCAGTATGTTTAAATGTTATTTCATCATAATTTAATCCTCTATGAATAAGGCATTTTCAATGACCTTTTTTTTTTTACTTCTTCTTACTTACCTAAGTCTTTCAATCATCGACAGAATAACAGTTCAGTTTGCTCAGTTCATTCTCCCGATTGGTAAGTCTTCCAACCGGGACAGGTCGGCTGAGGTCAAAAATGGGGGGTGGGCTTAATACCGGGCATCCCCCCTGTGCATGGGAGTTGGCAGAAAGGGGGGGTGGGCTTATTACCGAGCATGGGCTTATTGCCGGAGAAATACGGTAGTTCTTTTTGTTTGTTATCACCTGAAATTTGATTGTCAAAAATGCTGGTGTAAGAATTAACGAAGTAAAAAGAGTCTATTGGCAAATTCAAAAAAAGTGTGATCCGTTAGTATACTCTTGGTATAAAACACTCTGTGGTTTATTTACAGTATACTCCCCCATTTTTCTTTTTACATATTTAAAGTTAATCTTCAAACTTAAAATGTTAGATGATTGCATTTTAAATAAATGTGTATGGCTTTACCAAGGTTATTATGAAAATGAATTACTGATTTTAGAAAAAATGGTTTTGTTACTTAACCATGAGATTTCAAATCTATAACTGCTGAATATATTAACAGATTCAAACTGTGAAAATGATTTTGAATTTTTAAAAAAATTTTTAATCCTAGAATCTAATTTCTGCACGATATTTGTAAAACTTTCACTATAGATCCATATTGCTTAGAAAGATTGTTTAACATTGCCTGACAAACACAATGATCTAGAACAGAAATACAACTCTCCATATTGTACTGGTTGTGATTTTCGGCTATAGATGTTAACACAGGAATCTGATGTTCCTCATCATTAAAGCTACATGGTAGAAGCTTTGTCATCTATCTAAAAGATAAAATGATATTCTGTTTTATTTCAAGGATTATAAAACAATGTATTTAAACATTTTAAACTCATCCTTGAACAACGACAAAAGTCTCTTAAGTGAGAGTCTTTTATCTAAAATCATGGCCAATGAAGATGAGTGATTGAATACTGAATACTTCTATTGATCGAAATTAAGGAGACAAAGCTTATCCATGTCCTGGTATTAAACTAGTAATTTAATTCACAAAGCCTACAACTCGAACTAAAATTTACATGTTTAATAATAAATTTCATACAGTTCAATCAACAGCACACAAAAAGTTACTACCCACCTTAAAACTGATTTTCTGTAGCAACTTGTGTGTAAGCTAATAAATGCACCTATGCTGTTATAACTCTCATAAAAAGAAACAATGATGAAAGGCACATCAACTGAGATGGTTTAACCTCCAACGTGAGTATTACAAAATATCATATGCTTTGTACCTGATAATGAGGAGTAATTCTAATTTCAACATACTATTTGATACATTTCTCCTCAATTTATAGCAAATAATAAATGCATTTCCACATTAAACATAATGGGTGTCAAATGCCAGAGTATCAAGCTGCTTAAAACACACAGCATTTCCCCCCTCAAACTGATTAAAGCTGCCAATCAATATGTAAGGGAGGTAACTCTAACAAAAAATCACAAGCATATTGTGTGCAATGCAATTTAAATGCACAAGGGAGATAACTCTAACGAAATAAAATTGCTTATACAAATGTAAGGACTGTAAGCATACTATTATTAATCAATAGCCTACTACAATTTTTGTTTTTTTTTCTATGTAAGATCACTTTACTTCATAATTGCCAGACACATTTTTGTTTAGGATGGTATATGGGATACCGGTAATGATTTGAAATGCACAATTTCAATCCTTGTCTTTTTTCTGATCTTTCCTACAAACTGAAATGTGAAGCATGTTCATACACACTATGCTAAAACCAACACACAATTTTTGTTTCCAGCAGGCTGAATTTTCACCAATCAGACACACAAGCATTGTTGACAGTAGAATGAGTACGAAATCATACCACCTTTTCTCCAACTAATTTTGTCTTACTGGCAAATGCAGTCCACATAGATATGATACACCAATCATCGTCTTCAATATGTAGGCAAGTCAAGCACCTCTGAAATGGAAAGAATTTATCTTCATATCTGGTTTGTCTTTCATAAAGATAAATTCTGTTGATGAAGCAACATTTATACATATGTTAAACCTGATTTCTATGGTGAAATTTATACTTACAGATATCATTGTCAATCAGCGGTATTAATACATTTTTGCATATTTTTTCCACATATCAAGAGTGCATTGCTAAATTGAAGACAAAGCAATTTCAAACAGGTGTTCCCCTTTGAAACCAGGGCGTACACAGTGAACACCTGACAATGTACTAATAAAAGAGTGCTCGAATTTTGCTAATTCTGAAGGTTTTGTACCTTCGTTCACTAGGTAATGAAGAACACTATTGTTACAAATAATATAACTTGCTTCCTTGTTGTCTCAACATGGAGTAATATTTGATCACAACTTTACTTATCGAATGCTTTTCCGACTCAGTTGAAGCAAGTTTAATACCAGCTGTCAGCAACTAGACATCAATCATATGTGCCTCATGAAATGTATTTCCCATTAGCACTTTTCTCAGATTATTTCTGTGCAGGAGACCTATTGTGATGTCAGGATAAAATAATGAAGTGACGTCACATAGATTACAATATCATAATGGAGATGACAGCTATATCACTGACCAAACTCATTTTAAACTTTTCATTTTAATTTGCCAGAGTGTAGCTAAAGGGAACAATGCTAAGAATTGATTCATAAATGAATCATTTTCAATTCTGTATGTTGAACACAACTGCAGTTTTACTGCAGCGACATCCACAGCTCGTTTGTGATACCAGATATCCTCTTTTTTTAGTAACTCCAGGAGGAGTCAAAACCAGGTCCCTGGATAACTTAGCCGTCTGGAAATTGACAGAAAGACCATTAACCATGTGTGTACATCTGTACGATTCATATAGGATACAGTTCAGGGTTTTTATCCACTAAGTCTCTGTACATCTCATCGTAGGTGGTGTTGAAATCGTAAATATTAGGACGATCTGGTGCAGGACCTGGCAATTTGACCTGACTTCCTGTACCGAATGACTTGACACGATATCCTCGTTTGCTGTCAATAGAATCAAGAGTATAGTTATTAGGTTAATAGTGTGAATGTATTAGCTAGGGGTAGGATTTCTTTTTCTTTCAAAATTGACTACAAAGTGTTTATGTAAAATACTCATTTCAAATGAACTGTCTGTGAGTAAACACTTTATGTACACAATGCAGTCAGATGTCTGTTCCCGGCACGATCAGATTTAATGACTAGGATATGTGCCAAATGGACAGTTATATTATGATCAGGAGTGAAATGGGACAGCATTTTCATAGTCATTGGCAAAGTGGGATGGCAATGTTATGACAAGGAGCTAACAGGGGTGGAAAAGGATGGTGTTGTTATGATTAGTGACCAGGAATAGATTACGACAAACATTTTTTCAGAGACACTAACTCTTCCAATATTGATTGCTTCCTTAAATTTTTCCCATCAAATGAACTTATCCAGTGGAGTGCAAAAAAATGTATTCCTTATCAACATATTTCTGATCAGTGAACAAACTTGACTACAGTTGCATCTAAAGAGGGTCAACTTTCACATAAAAAAAAACTCTTCATTCACTATAATTTACAAATTTCATCTATAAATTCCAGGTCAAATAATAAGACTAAACTAATTTCACTCTTTATTGTCATAAAGAGGTGGAGTCATAAAATTCTACCAAAAATTTCTGAATACCCACAAGACTCGATCATATTTAGTATATAGAATGCTGAGTGAGCTAATAGTCAACATACATTTGTATTAATGACTTTGGTCCAATATCAAGGCATGAGGTTAGGTGTGATGAAATCCTTTCACCAAAGTACATACTACTGGTGATTTGTGTAATGCTATTTTGATACTAGTTATATCGCGGGTGGCAGAGCAAACTTGTTCTAGGTGACATGGGTAAAATTTAGAGTTTCTCAAGCATTTAATGAGGAAACTAAATACATTGATCTGTTAAAGGATAAATGGTTCAATATTTCCTTATATCTGTATATATTTACAACCAAAAAGTGTGAGACATGAGATACGGTAATTTCACCCATATTACTTTAATATAAAGAGGTTTGGTATATAGGAGGCAGAGTTTAAACGATGTACAAATACTTAATCTTTCAAAGTGAATGATATTTAGCCCCTAGAAAAGCAAAACCATGATCAGCTGATTAGCACCCTCTAGGCAGAAACAAGAGTATTTCAAGTACATTATGTATCAAAATTTGTTTCAATATTTTTCAGATATGTTATTGATGAAGCATTTTAAACAGTGACAGGTTTACAGCATGAAGTGGTCACTGGCACCAGATCAAATCACTTGCTAGAGTTGACTAGTGAAAAATACTGAGTGCAATGTGAGAAAGCTAAGTATATGCAATACTTATCTATATTAACACTCAACACTGAGAAATTCTTGTTATTCCTGAATAAATTTTAAAGATAATTTCTCATACGGATTTAGCTAACCTTTAAAAATAAAGTCGTAGTGCGAAAAATGCAATCGAGTTCCTTTCTTTCTCTGACATAATATATATGGTAAGCAATCAAGCACAAAAATAAATTAAAACCGGCACATCCAGCATTCCTGTGTTCTGTAATGCAAACTCTGAAAGAACGGGGAAGACATGCCGGATTCCCCGGCTTCGATTCTTTGTATATTGGACATCCAATAACTGATGGCATAAGATTATTAGTATATGTTATCAATAGAGGGATATCGGGAAACAGGCGTTGTCAAGACCTGTGGGACTCGTTCAATATGTGTATTCTGAATGGTCCAAACTCCACTGAAGGGGATGGCTTCAAAACCTACGCAGCGTTTATTTAAATGTGACATCTGAAGTTAATGGTTGATACCACTCGAAGACATCGATCTCTCACCTGAGAAAGTTATGTGCCTCCATACTTCTGTTTTGATTGCTAGAGCAGACCACAGCAAATTTCACACTCATAGTGGGGTTTGTGTCAGCCATTTCGACAATATTGCCACAACTGTAACCTACTTGAGAAAATGTTTGTTTAATCAACGCCGATTGAATATGGGCAATTTATATAATAACACCGATAACATAATAGACAATTAAATTGCAAGATTTTCGCAGATTTGGATAAGAAATTTTCTACGAATTATTCTTCTACATTTATATACTTCCGGTTTACTTCCGCTGTGTCAATACAATTTTCTAAATAGAACGGAATAAAAACTATATATCTTGCTTCTAAAATTGTCAATATATGATTACCTGTTTCTATAAAGCTCGTTAGAATTAAAGAAAATCTAATGAAATGAAAACGGGGTCAATGAATTGAAAGATTTAAAAACAAGTTGTGTGTTCGTTTCGGTTCTATGATTCCGCTAAATAACATTTCCCAACGAGTCCGCCATTTTTCAGTCAGCATGCGACTTGTGCTAAATTAAACTTTCACTGTTAGGCCTAGTAGCTTCGGATGAAATCATGACACTTATAAATAATGTCTATGGTGGTGTAATACAAAACTGAAACGCCTTTTAAGGGCATTGGTAAGGAACTGGAGGCGAAAACCTTGTTGTATATGACTACATGTCGGTTATTTGCGACATTGCAAATGTGGCGGCTATGTGCATCTGCGGAACATGGAGTAACAATTTCGATTGCATGTCAATCATGATCATATCACAGAAGCTTTGCCACTTGAATTTCAACTCTTAAAGTATTCCAAGAACTTTTAAGTATTTTCTAGGGTATGGGGATATAGGTTTTGATTCATTTTCTTTATCACAAAACGGCTTGTTGATATTGGCCTGGTTACACTTGTAATATGTTACTCGAGTATTAAAACTGGAAAGTTCCAATAAGTTTACAGAAACCAGACGACGGACTATTAACTAGTCTATGTTCTTCAGGGTGGCAAATCGTCACATTGCACAAATTTGGCGTCAATTTTGGATTCGTAAAATTTTCAGCCATTCATTAGGAATACAACTGCATTATCCACGCTCCCACGTATTAGGTGGAACATTGGAACGGGGCAGACAACATTGACATGTGAACAAATCTAAAATAATACCTGACGTTTGTATGCAAGCATTTACTTAATTTGTGACGGGGATAACTGACTTGAGTCTCTTGTGTCAAAGTCATAAGTTAGCTTGTTAAAAAAAGGTCACAACATAGATAAGACTACGAAACGTGACAATCTTAATTGATATTTGAACAAAGCTTATTTACATTCATTGGGTAGAGAATATTATTTATTAGAATGTAAAGGAAGGTTTTTATCAACAATAGTTTAAGCTCATTTTTCATTGTAATCGTTTTTTTCAATTTGTCACATTGATAGTCCCATTAAGGAAAGTTTCCATTTGTCTAGTAAAGGTTGTCTAAATACCTTACATGTTCAATGCAAAGTCATAGTATTTCCAGAGATTTTGTCAGTAAAAGAGTGATACTAAACAGAAAGTATGATTAATCTTTTGAAAAGAATATATTTATTTTCTGACTAAAAAATTGGTAATTGTCCCATGATGTGAATAGTTTTGTTCATCATTTATTGATTTATTAAACAATTCAGGAGGGTTCTGATCATCTGCTTGCAGTTTTATTTTTGTCTTGATATGAACAGCAACCAAGACCAAAATTGAATGGTGGATAGATTGTCAGAAACCTCTCTGATTTGAAGATTTGAATCTGCATTGACTGAATTTTCAATTGATTTCTGCTTCTTTTTAGATCACATAAATATTTGAGAATGGATGGTGGTATAGCAACTGCACAAATGGATGCCCCAAGGTATGGTGGGCAGCGAATGGGACGAGGATATGGCAGGGGAGGATTTGGCCGTGGGGCAGGTCAACCAGGTGGAGGCGATTCTGGAGGAGCTATGGGACAAGCAGTCATGTTTGATGGGAAACGTATGCGAAAGGCAGTCCACAGAAAAACTATAGATTATAATTCTTCAGTGATAAATTATCTACAGGTATAAATCTTTAGGAAGAAGCATTTGAGTAGACATACAATAATCCTGCCCTTTGAAATCATATAATGTTACATGAGCCAAGACTTTAATCTCGGCAACCCTATAATTATCAATAATTCATTGTGATTTTGAATTGCCATGTTTGCTTTTAAGTAAGACATTTTAATTCATTTAGATTTTGCTTGATATAAATTACAAGTAGACAAACTATTGAAATATTTGAGTAATGCTGTCTTTTAAATGCCATAGTTTTCCTTTTAAACAACTTGGTATATATAACCAGGGACAGCTCTGAACAAGCATTTGAATTACAACTTGTAGATAATCTTACCTCTTTTGATATGAATTTTTCAACAGGATAGGATATGGCAGCGTGATCACAGAGATAGACGAGCTCTTCAACCAGAGTCTCTGTATCAGATTGAGGTAACAGAATCACTATTGGCCATCCTGGCAGAGTATTTCATAATAAACAAATACATCTGTATCAGATTGAGGTAACAGAATCACTATTGGCCATCCTGGCAGAATATTTCATAATAAACAAATACATCTGTATCAGTTATTAGATATACTAAATGTAAAGCTCAAAATAGATTTCCTTTCAACATTCAGTATATGAACTAATCATAAAATTTGTTCCATTTTAATCTGTACTGAATGTTGTAACATTTCCGGAACTTGATGAGTGTTACAACCCCTTTTTATACATAAACTCTGAAAGGTAACAATACACAGCCAGTATGTTGTAGCTTCTTTTTATTGATTTGGTTATACAAACATGCCTTGTTTCTGTTTCAGCTGACACCACCTTTGCATATGAAGGACAATCCTATGAACTGTGTAACCACCAAGTTCATTCGTACTTCAACAAATAAATTCCGATGTCCTATCTTTTGTTTAGCAGTAAGTGTAATCAAACTATTAAAATCTATCTTTTCTGGTTTGACACCGATTTTACAGTGTTAATTTGAAAAAAAAAAATATAATCAAGGGATAAAGAAATGCAGGGTGACATTATTTGCAAAATCTTTGTGAATGCGTTCAAAACAATGAAAATCAGTCAAACAACTAGTGTTACAGTGCTCATGGTCCTGTATCAAATGTTGCATTATTGTATTGCAAGGTGATGTCTTCAAGGTAAAGCACGAAACGGGAAAATCTCGCACGCAGCAGTGTTGTGACATAGAGTTACACTGCTCATCATACCATTAAGTAGTCTTCATTGAGACACATCATTTTCCGATATTTTGATTAATTTCTTAAATCATTAAACAATGGCAGGACTGACAGAAGTTCAGAGGAATCAGGCCATTGCGATGATTATTCAAGGTCAATGGCAAATACAGGTTGCCAGACATTTCGGTGACCATATTTGCACAACAGAAGGTCTTGTTAGACGTCTACAGGAAACAGGGTGGGTTGCTGACAGACCAAGACCTGGGCGTCTGCGCGTGATGTCAATGTCAGGACAGCTTTATTATTTATTGCACATTGGCACGATCGGCACCTTACTGCCACTGAATCTGTCCTGCATACCATAGGTGCTCGTAACCATCCTATCCATGCAAAAACTGTAAGGAACCAATTGTGGGAAGTTGGTCTGTGGGCATATCACCCATTTGTAGATCTGCACCTTACCCCTGCTCGTTGCCAGCGTTGTATGGCTTGGGTTGTGGCACATATCCTCAGAATATTCCTATTGAGGCATTGGAGGCGGGTCTTGTTGACTGATGAGTCCTGGTTCACTCTGTTTCCAGCAGACATTTGTTATCGTTTATACTGACATCGTGGAGAATGTTTGGTGACTGCTGTGTAGTAGAGATGGATAAGTTTTTGGGATGGATCAGTTCTGATGTGGAGAGGAATCTCACATTGAGTTAAATCACCACTGGTTTTGGTAGTGGGTAATTTAACTGCTGCAAGGTATAGAGATGAGATCCCCCAACCCCATGTTGTCCCGTTATTGCAGCAAAACAAACCTGACATTCCTTGGCCCCATGTAGGGAAGATCTGTCACGACTTTCTCACTAACAACAATATCCACCCACTGGACTGGCCACCATACAGCCCCAACCTATCCCCTATTGAGCACTAGTTGCACAAGGTGGTAGACAGGTTCAACAATGCCAGCCTCCCCCTGTTACTCTGGCTAAACTGAGAGCAACCTTCTTGGAAGAATGAGCCAACATTCCAATGAGGAAGATAAACTCGCACATGAACTCCATATCTAGGTAAAAAAAAATAGAGCTGTGGATAGAGCAAATGGGGGACAAACCTGGAATTGACTAGCCAGCTCCCACAATCAGTCCATTTCAATTTCAGATTACAGAGTTCTCTTTCAATTCCCTAAAATTACTCATAAATCACTTACCAGATACAAATTGTTGATTTTGTAGTTTGTTCTGTATGGATTAATCTGCATTCTTACTTTAAAATATTGAACATTTTACTCGACATCTTGCCTAGAATCATCTTCAAAGTTTACCCTGGGTTTCTTTATCCCTTGAGTATATAAATATATATATTGATAAAAGCTCAGAATTACAACACTTTGGACACAGAATTCTCCAAAATGTAAATCCACTCTCTGAAGACATTTATGAGTCCCCTATAGAATCATGGTGGGTGTTCCGCTATATTACACTAGATAAGGATTGGGGTCTTGTTTTACTGGATTTCATATATGTACATGTACATTTTCTACTTTTCGTCGAAAAGAAATACATTAACAACAGCTTTTGATTTCTTCAACATTGCAAATCTGACTGAAAGCTTTTATATTTCTGTAGTGGACACCAGAGGGCAGGCGGTTAGTGACGGGAGCATCAAGTGGAGAGTTCACTTTGTGGAACGGTCTGACTTTTAACTTTGAAACTATTTTGCAGGTAACAAGATTGATGATAAATTATGGTGTGATGTACGATAAAAATGATCTAGATTCATATAAAATTCCTGGATAAAGTAACAAAAGGAAATGAACTGTAATTTCTAACTGTAAAGAAAAGTATTCACACTGGAATTGCTAGAGTTCAGGAATGATCCATAATGGTCTTTCATTTTAAATATCCTTTAAATTAGTAACAATCATACTGACTACAAAGATGTTTTAGCGATTTTCAATAATCCATTCAGGAAATTTCTTGTGTGCAGATTCAAAGCTTCCAGAAACATGCATATTTTAATTTCAAATTGACTGTAGATATTTTCCTATGAAGAGAAGCTCGAGGATTACTGAAGTTTTACTAACACGCCATTGCAGCATGCTCTTCTAAACTCTTGTATAGTTGCTTTTTCCAGACTAAATTATATTTTTAGGTCATCTGAGAAGTCTCATAGTGCCCTATCGTGATCACCTTTGTCCTGTGCTGTGCATTCTTAAACAATTCAACATTTTCAACTTCTTCTCAAAAACCCCTGAACCAATTTCAATAAAATTTTGCATAAATCTTCCTTAGTTTGAGATGAACCAAATAGTGAATTATACAGTCCCTACCCTAGGGGCCTGAGGGGCGGTGTCAAATTGACTTGGATTTAAAAAAATCTTCTTCTCCACACCCAGATATGGTAGAATCAAATACTCTTTATGGATGTAAGCATCTAAACATGCTTTACGAAAATGTGATTTTGATGAACCCAGGGCTCCACGTTTCCCTCCACGGGGAGGAGGGTAATGTTTACTATAGTTTATATAGGAAAATAGATTCTGGAATATAATTTGTTGAATTTCCATTGGAAATATTTCGAACTTGGTGAGAATTATTAGGGAGGGATGATGGCTATATTGCATGCCCATATTGATCCTGGCTAACCCAAAGTTGCTGGTGGGCAGTTCAAAAGGGGTCAAATTGACTTAAATTTCAAAAATATTCTTCTCAATACCTAGGTATGTTAGAATCAAAAGCTCTGTATGGATGGTAGCATCTGAAGGTGCTTTAATTATCAAAATGGATATCACTTTTCTTCCTGGGGAGGAAGTTAAGTTTACTGTAATATTCATTGAAAAATAGCATTTTTGAGCATAACATTGTTTACCTGGTATTTCCCAATGGAATTATTAGGATAGGATGACAGTTTGGATGGTATGCTTGTATTGACACAGGCTTACTCTATTCAATGTCACAATTTCTTTTTTATGACATTTGAAAGCTATCCTTTAACCTTTATGCTCAGTATTGCTTATCTCAAATGACCGTCAAGGTTGCTAGGCTTCTCGTTAAATTAGTTCAGACTGGAAAGTAACACACAACTGTAACATCAGGACTTGACTTTGAGAAATTAAAATGAAAATTTATTTCATTTACAGGCCCATGACACATCAGTAAGAGCCATGCAATGGAGCCACAATGACCAGTGGATGGTGACAGCAGACCACTCCGGCTTTATCAAGTACTGGCAGACCAACATGAATAATGTGAAGATGTACCAGGGTCACAAGGAGCCGGTGCGCGGGATAAGGTGGGCTTCTGTGCGGGACTGTTATGTTTACTTGGCCCGCCTTTTACTTCGGGTCACAACAAGCATTCTAGCTACGCCATTGCTGCGTGCTCGTCTAAACTCTTGCATAGTTGCTTTTTCCGAAGACCAACTAATATTCTCTTATGTTCGATATCATAGTTCCTACATGTCTCTGGTGTCAGTAATAACAAAATATTTATATCAAAATCTACTATTAGACAAACATAGGGATTACCACATTTATAGTATATTTAAGGAAATTGTTTTGCCTCATTTTTTCTCAAAGCTAGTTCTAACAACATGCTTTCAAACAGATTATTGGGACATTATTTGCATATCCATAAAAACTGAACACCTAAACCATAGTATTCTGTTGAATCACAGTTTAGAATTCGTCTTTTACCCTTTATTAAACTCAATTTTTCATCTGAAAGATTGGTGCTTACAAAGTTTTAGTCAGTGGTCAACTCTCAAATTAGGTCAGATATTGAATCAGATTTATTTTTTGATATTGACTTCAGTATATAGTTATATATTCTCTATATGTATATATAAATATACTCGAGAGATAAAGAGCAGGGTGACATTATTTGTAATATTTTGCGATTATGTTCAAAAACAAAGAAAATTTGTTGATCAACTCTCTAGGTTACAGTGCACATGGTCCTGTATTGAATGTTGCATTATTGAATTAAATGTCTTCAGGGAAAAGCACGAAACGGGAAAATCTCATACACAGCAGTGTTATGGCATTGAGTAACACTGCTTGTCATACCATTAGTAGTCTTCATAGAGACACATCATTTTCCAATATTTTGATTAATTTCTGATAGCATGAAACAATGAAAGGGCTGACAGAAGTTAAGAGGGATCAAGACATTTGCACCTTACTGAAACTGAATCTGTCCTTCATACAATAAGTACCCATAACCATCCTATCCATGCAAAAACTGTAAGGAAACGATTGTAGGAAGCTGTTCTTTAGGCATATCACTCGATTGTAGGTCTGCACCTTACCCCTGCTTGTCACCAGCGTCGTATGGCTTGGGTTGTGGCACATGCCCCAATAATATTCCCATTGAGGCAGTGGAGGTGGGTCTTGTTAACTGAGTCCTGGTTCACCCTGTTTCCAGCGGATGTTCGATGTCGTGTATACCGACATCATGTAGAACGTTTTGCAGTCTGCTGCGTAGTAGAGATGGATAGGTTTAGGGGTGGATCAGTTATGCTGTGGGGAGGAATCTCAAATGGAGTTAAATCACCATTGATTGTGGTAGCAGATAATTTAACTGCCGCTAGGTATAGACATGAGATCTTCTGACCTTATGTTGTCCCATTATTGCATTAAAACAACCTTGTATTCTAGCAGGAAAATGCTCGCCTCATGTAGGGAGGATCTGTTCCGACTTTCTCACTAACAAAAATATCCACCCACTGGACTGGCTGCTATACAGCCCCGACCTATCCCCAATTGAGCACTTGTGGGCCCAGAGTTCTCTTTCCATTCCCTTCAATTACTCCTAAATCACTTGCCAGGTACAAATTGTTGACTTCGCAGTTTGTTGTGTATGGATTTATCCTCATTTTTAATCGAAAATATTGAACATTATACTTGACGTCTTGCCTAGAATCATTTTCAAAGTTCACCCTGCATTTCTTGAGTACATATATATATACGTTGGTTTAGCTTTTCAGGACTAATTACTGATTTGACAGATATTTTTCTGAAACCTTCAATTTCAAATCAGTTTGAGAATAGGTTTTTGATATTAGATTTAAAAGGACCTGTTCTTTAATAAATCAATATTAATGAAAAGAAAAACAAATATCGTTATTTAAGTATGACATCAGTCAGTGTATGATAATGCAATTCCAATATCTATTTTTTTTGTTTTTGTTTCACTGTATCTTGCTCATGCAAACTAATTTTAAAACTTTTTTAAGACATCCTGTTAGGAAGATTTTTTTTTTAAACAAAGCAATTTAAAAAAGGATATTTATCCATTTGAAAGACTGCTTATCCCTCTCATTTTCTCTAAAACGATGTGGTCTTGGATTCGAGATATTTGTAATTATGTGAAATCTGTACAGTGGATCTTGTGGTGGTTCATCAGCTTAGCTTACTTTCCCTGAATGGTTTCTATTGTTAAAGAAAGTTTGAAATAACTTCTGCATCTTTCAACAAATACATAATCATTTTTAAGGATTCAATAAAGGCATTTAGCCCAACACATTTTTAACTTTAGACATTTTACTGTCTTTGATCTAGAATTTTTGAGATGTCATTCCTTGTTTCCATTTATTGTGTGCGAGTCAGTATTTTTAATAAAGGCATTAGCCCAAACATATTGCATCTAAGTCTGAATAAAGGCTTCTGGCCCTGCAACAATACATTTAGTGATCAATTGCAATGTTTTTAATTGTGATTGAATAACTTTCAATAAAGGCTGCGGCCCAAACCTTTACTAGATTTCTTCTGAATAAAGGCTCTTAGCCCTACAAGGATACATTAAGAGTTCTCAGTGTTGTTTCTAACATCAACTTTTTGATTGATTTTCAATAAAGGCGCTAGCCCAAACTGTTTGCAGCTTATGCTCTAATTGGAATTCAAGATTTATCAATAAAGGCACTGGCCCAGATGGACATATTTATTTATTTAGACTGCTAACATAAACAAAATGTTACATTAAGCCAAAGAGCTCAGCTCCTCCACAAATCAATATTTAAGCACCCTGCTTTGAAGATTTGCCATTAGCTGTCTATGTAATATCGAAGAATTTTCAATAAAGGCTTTTGCCCGATTTTTTTTTTACATTTTTTGAATAAAGGCTTCTAGCCCTAATCATCATCTTACCAGCATCATACTTGAGGATTTCATCACAATCACAATTTATAGAAAACTTTCCAGAATTTTTCAATAAAGGCTTCAGCCCAATAGCATGTGTACATGGATTTATATCTTTGAACTGACAGTAAAATGATAGTTGCTTTATACCGAGTTCTTGATCTAATTGTTAGTCTCCTATAAGTTTGGTACTGGCTACATCCATTTACTTTTTGGCCCAGGTGATGATGTGGTCCTTTCAGATCTTTGACCAATAAAGACATCCTGCTCATGCAATCTTAATCAAAGGCATTCTTGCCTATTTTCCAGTATTTCTGATTGAAGATAAGGAGTTCCTGTATGTATGTTTTTTTGTTTTTTTTTTTGACACAATTTTTTTATCTTCTTTTTGCAATAAATATGCTTATGTTATTAATATTTGCATATGTTGTTTGTTTACTTTTTTCTGCACAGTTTTTGTCCAACGGATAATAAATTTGCGACTTGCTCAGACGATGGAACAGTCCGAATATGGGATTTTTTGAAATGTCATGAAGAAAAAATTTTGAGAGGTAGGTCTATTGGAAGATAGAAACATCATCATGAGACGTTAGGAGTGATAATCTGCTGCGAAACAACTCGTCCAAACCAACTGCTGACGTATCTTGTTTAACCATTACAACTAGGAGGAGGTATTTAGAACTCTTTATCTGTATGTTTGTGTATTTCCACAATAGGGTTATTCACTTGTCTTTTCGACAAAGATTACCCCTTCATGGGTAACAAAATTTCAGGCAAAATGATTCTTACAATAATTTTGAATAGAGAAGACGCCTCATAGCTGGTTGACGTGCAATGCCATTAGTCAGAATGCTGTTGTAGTAATATATAATTTAGATTGTTCCAGGAACAGAATTCTGCAATACAATCATTTAGACTATCGTTCCTCGATCTTTACTGAAATGTTTGTGACTATAGGCAGCACTTGGGGTTTGCAGTAGCCATGAACAATCGTGACTTCTATTAGATATAGTGAAATCAGAAAGACTTTGAAAGTGTAACGAAACATCCAACTGATTTGCTGACAACCATTATATATTGATACCGAGATTCAGCTTAATTATTGAAGACTTGCCTCATGAATGAAAATGATGCCCAGTAAGGTTATTGCTTTGATAAGAAGGTATAATAGGGACAAAGCAAAAAACACTAGACCGGAAAAAACATTTTCTATTTCAATCTACAAGGTAAAACTTTCTGTAGAAAGGATTAGGGTTAGAAAGTAATAACAAAAAAAATACATTTGTCATAGCAAAACTTGAGATACAATTTAATTGTTGCATACCTTTCCTAAATAACAAATTATCTAAATTATCATCTCTGGAAAGTGTGAACTTTGATGGTTGAATGTATAACCAGGATATTTTCATATAGACTCTTATATCAGTGGTGTACGTTGTATTACTTTGTTGTGGAAACTGTAGATCAAGTGTTAAGTTAGATTCCTCCGGTGTAGATATGTCTAGTGGAATCCAAACATAATCTAATAACATATGATATCAAAATGATTTTTTACTGGCAATGCAAGACTTGCTGTATTTCTTAGTTCTGTTTAACAAGAAACTAAGTGTTCATGGAGAAACTTCTGGGTAACACTTGATATAGATTCCCTCAGTACTAGTCACCAAGCCTCTCTGTGAATATGTGTACTTGACTGGTCATGTCCATTTTAGAATTAGAAGAAAAGAAGAAAAAAAAGCAAATTCTTGTGAAGAGAAGTAATTCTATGTATATATACAGGACAGGTTTTAACATTTGGCAGATTTCATGTCCTCCAACTCTAATTACAGTTATTACGATACATGTGCATGAAAAATTGGGATAGTGGGCACAAGCTACATGGGTTATACAACATTTGCCCCCCTTTTGTGAAACCAAGATCTAACTTAGTGTTGTGAATTTTTCAAGGTTATGATTCCTCTGCTCAAATGTCCGTGCTTATGAAGAAATATTTTGTGTTCACTAATACGCTTGAACTTTTATGTTAGGGAAACATTGATTTCATATGTAAGTATACATAGCCTGCAATATACCACTTGGCGAGAGAGAACTGATCTCCTAGTAAGCCAGAGGTCATAGGTTCGAATCCTAGCGGAGTCATTGAAATAGTTGATGACCTCTGTTACTTTTATAATCTGCAAACTTTTTTCTGTTATGAACAGAAGTAATGAACTTAAAAGGTCAAGTATTAAAAACTTTGGTGGGAAACTGTATTTCTATGAAGGGACAGTAATCCATACTTTTCTTATGTCTAACGACAAAAAACGAAGAGAGTTGTTTGAGTACTATTAATATGTAGTGAACGAAATTGTAAAAATTGAAAGACTTGTTATGTTTGGGGGATATGTCGTGTCACACACAGTCATGTAATATATTTCTGATTAATTAATAGTCATTAAACATTAATAAAATGACAAGTCTAGATGTTGATCCAAAAAGCTAACAAGAAGAGCCAAACGTGGAAGAAAATATATGGAGCAATGCCCACCTGTAAGCTAGACCACATGCCCTATTGCTATCCCTAGGTCACGGAGCAGATGTCAAGTGTGTGGACTGGCACCCCCAGAAATGCCTGATTGCCTCTGGTAGCAAGGACAACCAGCAGCCTCTCAAATTATGGGACCCAAAGTCTGGATCCAGTCTAGCCACCATGTATGTAGTCATTTACATCAAATACAGCCAAAGTTATTTAAACCCTGCTTTCAGTAGTCCTGTTTAATTTTACTGAAACTGATAGTGCTTCAAACTTATCAGATTTCAGTTCAGAGTCTGTACCTAAAGAGAACAATGAGTTTGAAAAGATGGTACTAAAGAAGGATATCATAGGTTAGGGCCAACATTGCATTCATATGAAGTGCTGCAACAAGGAAATATCTCGTAGAGAACTGGAGGGAAATTTGTTTTGAGTATTCCTTTTTCACAAGCATATCCAAATACCCTTGATGCCAAAGTGTATGATATGATGTAGCAGATATTCTGAAATTTCCCATGATTATACACAGGTGTGTGATAGTTAAAAATTTCCTAAGGTATAAGTCACTGCTCTTAGAATAAAGTTGGAATATAATGTCAAATGATGTATTGTATATGGTGTTGCATAGAATTATCCTTTTTTAACATTATGAAGCAAAATTATCTGAAATCATGAAAAGTAATTTTTTAACTGTTAGAAACATTGTTACGAAGTTGTTCAAACAAAGTTGACAAGAATAAAAGGAGAAGTTGCATTACTAAATATCGAGATTTATTTACGAAGCAAATATTTTGTTCGGACATCATGAAGCAAGTATGAGCAGAATCAAATACGAAGTCTTTATGACATAATGTTAAGTTCACTTATCAAATCAAATTAAGATTTTTTTCACTGGTAAGTTTATTTTATGACATGAAGGAAAGTTTACAAAATCAAATGAGAAGGGGTTACTAAAGGCCAAGGTCAAATGTATCTAGGTCACATTTTCTACATCTCAACTGGTAAATGATTTCTTAACATCATATAGCAAAGAGAATTCACCAAAAGCGATTGTCTCTGGATTTGAGGTCGGGGTTAGATATTATTGTGAACTATAAAAGAGGATGAGAATCACAAGGTAGAGGCCATCCCGATGAACTAATTCACAAAGCCTAAATGACATTAAAACATGAATTGACCTTGTCAAATACTAGCTAATGGAGTGCTATAAAATGCCAGGATTGCTGCGTTTAATACAGAGTGTCTTAGAGTGTTGAAGACCACAAGGTTCAGGGCTAAAACCACAAAGATAGTTGTTTAGTACTAGAGGCTCCTTGATAATCCTAGGGTTATGATCACTTTCAATCTCTGCAACTCTGTAGCATTTCTTTTCAAAACTGAAGATTCAATGGGTGACACCTTGTGGACAAGACAAGGAATAGTTTGATACTTTGTTGAACGTGAAACAAATCTTGAGGTTGCAAAGCGGTATATTGTAATGGCTGTGAAGTTGGGTGTCATTCCTTTGTTATCTTCGAAAGGAACGTTTTGTCCTGTGATTAGTCAGTTTTTTTCTCCTGGAAACAAATGAAAGTGATTGTAACCCCTGGAGTATCAAGGATGCAGGTTTTAGATCTCAAGGCTGAATGCACAGCTAAAGTGTCATATATTGCATAGTACTGCAGGCTTTAGATCTCTGGGTTACATATACAACTGCAGGCTTTAGATTTCAGGATTACATATACAACTGCAGGCTTTAGATCTCTGGGTTAAATACGCAGCTATATTGTCATATATTGTGCATTACTTCAAGCTTTAGATCTCTGGGTTACATATACAACTGCAGGCTTTAGATCTCTGGGTTACATATACAACTGCAGGCTTTAGATCTCTGGGTTACATATACAACTGCAGGCTTTACATCTCTGGGGTACATATACAGCTGCAGGCTTAAAATCTGTGGGGTGCATATACAACTGCAGGCTTTACATCTCTGGGTTACATATACAACTGTAGGCTTTACATCACTGGGTTACATATACAACTGCAGGCTTTACATCTCTGGGTTACATATACAACTGCAGGCTTTACATCTCTGGGATACATATACAACTGCAGGCTGTACATCTCTGGGTTACATATACAACTGCAGGCTTAAAATCTATGGGGTACATATACAACTGCAGGCTTTAGATCTCTGGGTTACATATACAACTGCAGGCTGTACATCTCTGGGTTACATATACAACTGCAGGCTTAAAATCTATGGGGTACATATACAACTGCAGGCTTTAGATCTCTGGGTTACATATACAACTGCAGGCTTTACATCTCTGGGTTACATATACAACTGCAGGCTTTACATCTCTGGGTTAAATACACAGCTATAGTGTCATATATTGCAAAGTACTGCAGGCTTTAGATCTCTGGGTTACATATGCAACTGCAGGCTTTACATCTCTGGGTTACATATACAACTGCAGGCTTTACATCTCAGGGTTAAATACACAGCTATAGTGTCATATATTGCATAGTACTGCAGGCTTTAGATCTCTGGGTTACATATGCAACTGCAGGCTTTAGATCTCTGGGTTACATATACAACTGCAGGCTTTACATCTCTGGGTTACATATACAACTGCAGGCTTTACATCTCTGGGTTACATATACAACTGCAGGCTTTACATCACTGGGTTAAATACACAGCTATAGTGTCATATATTGCATAGTACTGCAGGCTTTAGGTCTCTGGGTTACATATGCAACTGCAGGCTTTACATCTCTGGGTTACATATACAACTGCAGGCTTTACATCTCTGGGTTACATATACAACTGCAGGCTTTACATCTCTGGGTTACATATACAACTGCAGGCTTTACATCTCTGGGTTACATATACAACTGCAGGCTTTACATCTCTGGGTTACATATACAACTGCAGGCTTTACATCTCTGGGTTACATATACAACTGCAGGCTTTACATCTCACGGTCAAATACACAGCTATAGTGTTATATATTTTATAGTTCTGAAGACTTTAGATCTCTGGGCTAAGCATGCAATTTGCTATAGTGTCATATGTCGTCAAATGTCCAAGGTTGTGAAATAAACTGTTACCTAGCATGATGGTACTGGTAACAAGTTATACAGTGCCTTAAACACAATTTTAAGTATCCTCAGCTAAATGGAAAAGTCTAATTTTTTATGCTATTCACATAGTTCCGTTGGGGCCCCTGAATTTACCTTCCAATAGTTTCATGCTTCTTGCCAGCACTCTAGTCTACTGGTATCCCTGTAAATAAAACAACACTGTTGGTTCTTTCGTCATTGGTCCACGAAGAGAGTTTTTTTTACAGTCATGCACATAAAGGAACAGTTATGAACCTGAAGTGGAACCAGAATGGCAACTGGCTGCTAACTGCATCTAGGGACCACCTGATGAAACTTTTTGATATCCGCAATATGAAGGAAGAATTCCAGACCTTTAAAGGACACAAAAAGGAAGCTACAGGTAATAGTTTATGTCTATCAATTCAGGTGGGAAGATAGATAAGTAGAAAGATTATCATCAATGACTTATCCATTAACTCATTCATATACCTGGAGAATTTTAATACATATACTGAAAATGCACTTGAATGAATATCTGGGGTTTGTTTTGTGTTTTAAAAATCATAGAAATGTTTTTTGAACTCATCTTTTCATTTCTTTTTCCGTGCTAACAGTAAAGATTTTTTTCTCCTAATCCTCACACAATGATTCTGTGGTTGCTAGGAATGGGATAGCTCTCCCTTTCCTGCCTTTGTAGGATACAGGATATTCTCAATTGACCTAAGCCATGATGATGTCAGATCTCATGAACAAGATAAATTAGTATATGATTAAGTTATTTAAGTATTTGTGATCTTTTTTAAATATGGCTTTATATGTATGTCACTGAGATACCGCGCTGTATTCAGCATATCAGTTGCTTGATCTGTATGATCTGTATCATTTTTTGTCAAATGTTTTTGTGTAAAAGGAGGGAGAAAAATAGTCCACCATATGTACATATGTTGAATAATTGATATTCTACCTCTGGCAGGTGCTCGGTTCTTTCTCTTATTTTTTACCTTCAGTTAGAATATCCATATCCAACAAACCTACTAATGGTTGACTCTATAAATCTGTAAGGATGTTAGGGAAACATTGACATTGAGTAATCATGTCACAAATTGGTTACATTTCGATGTACATTTCTTGGGACATTGTCCATGGCACAATTGGTTACTTTTTTTAAAAAAAAAGTATTTTGAGAAATATAATCCAACATGGGTCTGTTCCATGGACAGGGATATCTAAATTCTCATGTAAGAGATTAGCTGGTCAGTACTGGGTGGGCCATACTATTACTAACAGTCTTATTGAGATGTGCCAAACCATGGAACAGACCTGTGTAAGCTTCTAGTAATCTGATATAGATTATTTTTTATATTGTGAGGACTATGAACACAAATAAAACAATACTAATTATATTAGATATTTAGATGTCTGATAATTTACAACCTGTATATTCAGTCAATTTGTTTGATAAAGTGTCCACTCGGAGTTTGATCCCACTTATACAAATACTTTAATCTCCACAGCGGTAGCTTGGCATCCAGTACATGAAGGGCTGTTTGTGAGTGGAGGGTCTGATGGAGCTGTCATGTTCTGGATGGTTGGGTATGTCTTTGTCACAGTTGCCTATGTTTATATGGGTAACTTTTGATACCTAAGTGTTATATTTATCCTATAGAAGCTGTCGCTGAATTCACAAGACTCTAACTGTACTTGATAATGTTTTAATCAGGTGATTTCAGTCGATGGTGATGAGGTTCCTATTTTTCTTCTTTTAAATTAATTGTCATTGAATGGTATTTGTACTTCTCTTAAATAAATTTGAATGCTGGTGTTTAGAACTGTAGTAATAAAGATATGTCATTTCAAATGTCAATTAAACATAGATGTCTATGATAGATGTATATGTTATAAAGATGCCACATTTATATTCAGCTCAGTTCAAGTTAATGTGTAAGGCATCAATACTGTATGATGTAACACATGTGTTTTGTAGTACTGTAAACAGCTGTTTCTGGGGTGTGGTGTTTTATTTCTTGATTTCAATTGGCAAATTGTAGGCACATGTATTTTCAGGATCAATGTACTTTAGCATATTTAATGTATATTTCAAAATGTTTGTAATTCTTAGCAAAGTCATGCACATGGGTGAAATTTATTCAGCTGGATGACTTCAGTGTATGTAGTGTAAATTCCACCCCCACCCCCACCCCCAACAAACACAAAATTTCCACATTGACTGTAAAGCCAGTGGGGAAGGGGGCCTACAGATAATATCTTACAGGGATTTAATGCTGACATGTTGATATTTGACTAACTTTCATTGTGTTGTAGAACTGATCGAGAGGTTGGAGGGATGGAAGAAGCCCATGAGGGCATGGTATGGAGTTTAGCTTGGCATCCTCTTGGCCATATTCTTGTGTCCGGATCCAATGACCACACGACGTAGGTCTTTATAATGTAGTCTGGTTAATTTGATATTGAAAGTTGTAGTGATACCGTCCGTTCCTGCACACCTAATACTTATTTTCAGTCTTGATGGAGTTAAGGCCCTTTTCCTGTGGAACTCTCCCAAATGATTCCGCTTTGACAGATATTTGTGAAATCTATTTCAATGATTGGTTCCTGATGCATCATTGAAAAATTCAATCAATCTTCGCTTCAACCAAAGTAATGGAAATGGTTACATCTGGCATTGTACATCATCCTTACCATTTATAGAACATACAATATGAAAAAATATGAAATAAATTAAAAAATTTTTTAACCCACTTCTAGACTGCACAAGTGATAATAGGAAATAAGATCTAATATTTCTCTACTTACATCAAAAAGCTTGTAGGTTAGGTTTCATGAAGCAGTTGACATTAGAATTTAATTTCTTTTGAAAACAGGAAGTTCTGGACACGAAATCGCCCTGGAGACAGAATGAGGGATAAATACAACTTAAACACCTTACCAGGAGGATCTGAACATGAGATGCCTGAATTTGGTAAAAAAATTAAATTAAAAAAAAACATAAATATATATATATATATTTAAAAGAACAAAGAACGTATACATTCCTGTCAATGTGCCTGACTAGGATTTGAACCTGTGTCTCCAGCACAATAATTGGCGGGCTCTTCCTGTTGAGCCAAAGAAGCAGATTCAGTCAGCTGAGTGACATAGACCACATTTAACACTATGTACAACTATGTACAAGTCACACTGACACACTTATAGTACATATATATATTCATAATAGTGCTGAAAACAATTCAAGCAGTACTCTTATATAGTGGACAACAATCAAGTGATCCCAGCTGTCTTCACAAAAATGTGTATTCACATGGTGTTTCAATTCTCTGCTGATTAAAAGCATAATGCATTCATTGTCACTTGTATTTGTAACATTCACCATCAAGTTAATAACATCATTTTGTTATTGATATATAGAGTCAAAATTTGTGAACGTTTAACTAGTGAGACAATTTTCCTGTATACACTGAAAGATTTTAATAAGATTTACTGAATTTTTTTTTCACAGAGCCAGACAATTCAGGAATGAGCAACATTCCAGGGATGGGAATAACTCCTGCTGACAAAATGATGAATGAACAGATTAACAAAAATCAAGGTAGATCACATAATGTAAACTGTAGGAAATGAGTGGAGCCTAGTGGGATTGTAAGAAGATAATGTAAACTGTAGGAAATGAGTGGAGCCGAGTGGGATTGTAAGAAGATAATGTAAACTGTAGGAAATGAGTGGAGCCTAGTGGGATTGTAAGAAGATAATGTAAACAGTAAGAAATGAGTGGAGCCTAGTGGGATAGTAAGGAGATAATGTAAACAGTAAGAAATGAGTGGAGCCTAGTGGGATAGTAAGGAGATAATGTAAACAGTAAGAAATGAGTGGAGCCTAGTGGGATAGTAAGAAGATAATGTAAACAGTAAGAAATGAGTGGAACCTAGTGGAATAGTAAGAAGGTAATGTAAACTGTAAGAAATGAGTGGAGCCTAGTGGGATAGTAAGAAGGTGATGTAAACTGTAAGAAATGAGTGGAGCCTAGTGTGATAGTGGGATTGTAAGAGGAGATAATGTAAACTGTAAGAAATGAGTGGAGCCTAGTGGGATAGTAAGAAGATAATGTTAGCTGTAAGAAATGAGTGGAGCCTAGTGTGATAGTAAGAAGATAATGTAAACAGTAAGAAATGAGTGGAGCCTAGTGGGATAGTAAGGAGATAATGTAAACAGTAAGAAATGAGTGGAGCCTAGTGGGATAGTAAGAAGGTAATGTAAACTGTAAGAAATGAGTCGAGCCTAGTGGGATAGTAAGGAGATAATGTAAACTGTAAGAAATGAGTGAGTGGAGCCTAGTGGGATAGTAAGAAGATAATGTAAACTGTAAGAAATGAGTGGAGCCTAGTGGGATAGTAAGGAGATAATGTAAACAGTAAAAAATGAGTGGAGCCTAGTGGGATAGTAAGGAGATAATGTAAACAGTAAGAAATGAGTGGAGCCTAGTGGGATAGTAAGGAGATAATGTAAACAGTAAGAAATGAGTGGAGCCTAGTGGGATAGTAAGAAGGAAATGTAAACTGTAAGAAATGAGTCGAGCCTAGTGGGATAGTAAGGAGATAATGTAAACTGTAAGAAATGAGTGGAGCCTAGTGGGATAGTAAGAAGATAATGTTAGCTGTAAGAAATGAGTGGAGCCTAGTGTGATAGTAAGAAGGTAATGTAAACAGTAAGAAATGAGTGGAGCCTAGTGTGATAGTAAGAAGATAATGTAAACAGTAAGAAATGAGTGGAGCCTAGTGTGATAGTAAGAAGATAATGTAAACAGTAAGAAATGAGTGGAGCCTAGTGTGATAGTAAGAAGATAATGTAAACAGTAAGAAATGAGTGGAGCCTAGTGTGATAGTAAGAAGATAATGTAAACAGTAAGAAATGAGTGGAGCCTAGTGTGATAGTAAGGAGATAATGTAAACAGTAAGAAATGAGTGGAGCCTAGTGGGATAGTAAGAAGATAATGTAAACAGTAAGAAATGAGTGGAGCCTAGTGGGATAGTAAGAAGATAATGTAAACAGTAAGAAATGAGTGGAGCCTAGTGGGATAGTAAGGAGATAATGTAAACAGTAAGAAATGAGTGGAGCCTAGTGGGATAGTAAGAAGGTGATGTAAACTGTAAGAAATGAGTGGAGCCGAGTGGGATTGTAAGAAGATAATGTAAACTGTAGGAAATGAGTGGAGCCGAGTGGGATTGTAAGAAGATAATGTAAACTGTAAGAAATGAGTGGAGCCTAGTGGGATAGTAAGGAGATAATGTTAACTATAAGTAATGAAAGAGTGTTGCCATATAAGGTAAAAAAAGTCAATATTCCCTGTATTTTTTAAGCTATGGGGATATATAGAAAATTGAGAAAACAGATATCACATAGCTATAGATGTATGAAGCTTATTAATAAAATATAACATTGATAAATCAATGAGAATGATGCAGTATCATGATGTTTTAATACTCTCCACCCTAAAGGAAATACACATGCCCTATGAGGAATAAAGTCACTTTATATCTGAAAATTATAATGTAATGGTGTAGCTGGATGAGAGGGCGAAATGGTTTCATTATACAAAAATAATGACAATAACATGAAGAATGAGTTTAAGTGTTATAACTGACTACATGTACACTAGGTTAAGTGTTATAACTGACTACATGTACATGAGGTTAAGTGTTATAACTGACTACATGTACACTAGGTTAAGTGTTATAACTGACTACATGTACACTAGGTTAAGTGTTATAACTGACTACATGTTCATTAGGTTAAGTGTTATAAGTGACTACATATACATGAGTTTAAGTGAGTTCATATTTATTTCAATGCCTCCAGTAAGATTTAAACCTGGCACCTCTTTCTTACAAGGCTCATGCTCAGGTGACCAAGCTAAGGAGAAGTTCTCTTTAGCTGAGTAATGTTTTGTGGCTAGTATTTTACTAGGCTTACATACATGTATTGTAACTATACCAATCATGTGTTACAGAAAATGAGGTAGGTGCAGAGGAACTGCCGTCCATTCCTGGCCTTGACTGGTCAGCAGATGAACAGTACTTCAGGGAACAACAACTTCTTAGAGAGATACCTAAGAAGAAAATTCCTTATGCTCGTCCAATTCCCTGGGAATTTGAACAGGCCTGGATGGTAAAACACACAGGCCTCCTGGTGCCAGATGGGGAGGGAGAAGAATTGACAGGTGGAGAAGGAGCAAATCGTGGTGGGGGTGGGAGTAGAGAAAAACGCAGGGAGCGTCGGAGAAAACAACAGATGGAAAGGACAAATGAAAACCAACAGGGACCAGGTGATGGCCCACCCAACAATAACCCTCCTCCTCTCATGCAACAGGGTATGTTACTTGAAACAATGAACTATGGACATTATAGACTTAAGCTGAAATTTGAATATGTATGTCCAAATTCTTTTTAGTGTGTGTATTTTTGGGGGGGGCAGGGGGCAGGACATAAAACTCCCTTGTCCGTTCGTCATGTCGTGTCTCATCTCATTCAGAATCATTATCATATCTTGAGAATCTCTCTACAGATATGGTTCATATTTATCACATAGTATCATAACATTATGTTCTACACCTTATCATACTAAAGTGTCATCAGTTTAAGTTCAAGGGTCAATTGTCCCATTTGACAATGTTTGCAAATTCATGTAACAATAATAGTAATATCTGAAAGGGAGCAGGAGAATTCATGTTTCATACTTAAAAGTATTTCTTAATTTCAAAAGTATTTTTCATTGTTATTGACATGACTGCATCAGTTTTGATTTCCACTTTCTACATGCTTATATTCTCTACATCAGTAGAATATATCATGACAAGGTCTAGGTATATAATGTATCCTTGGGGAAGTTTTGTTATGAAAATTTGTGTTTGTTTCTAGGCATACAGTCTAATCAGATGCTTGGTTCAGGAAACCAGAACAATGCTCCAAACATGATGGGTCCTGGACAAGGCAATATGCAAGGTAGAGGGCTTCTAGGCAATCAGCCTGTCGGATGGGGTCAGCAAGGTCCAGGTGGTGGTCCTGGGGGCCCAGGAGGTCCTGGTGGGCAGGGCATGAGACAGCAGGGACCAGGACAGCAGAAGCAGGGCATGCCTCATGGTATGTACACAATACAGTGGTCTTGTCTTGCTTTGGGATTTTTTATGAATAAAAAGAAAATATTTCTAAAATCTTTGAAGACATTGTTGTAAAAATGATGATTGTATTGTAGGAGGTGGGCGCTCTCAGGCAATGTCGGGACCACACAGGATGCAAGGTCCAAACCAAGGTCAGTAATCCCCAATATCACATTTCCTTGTATATCTCAAATAAGAGGAACAAATGAGCCTTAGCTAGCAATAGATAATAGAGAATTTACTGGTGTCTCCCTAAACACAAATCATATTTTGTCAAATGAGATGATTAATGGCTCCTGGAGTGATCAGTGAAATAATGAAGTTTTAATGTCATATAGTAATTTGTTAATTCTGCTCATTCTAAAGGTGGTCAGGGATTCCACCAAAATGATCAAGATTTCCGAGGACAATGGAATCATGGTCAGAGTGGAAACCAGGGTAACTTTGGAAATAATGACATGCATAACGACAACCAATTTCAAGGTGACCAAGATTTCCGCAATGATCAGGACTTCAGGGGTGATCAGGATTTCCGACAGCAGCAACAACAACGGAATGATAATCACAAATCAAATTTTAATGATGGACAGACATTTAATCGAAGAGGAGGCGGCACTCAGCGTGGTGGTAATCCAAGAGGTTTTCATGGTAACCAGTGGGAGCAACAGAGAGGTGGTAATGACAGAAGCACAAATTTTGGTGGTGATCATGGTAACAGTAATTTCAGTAACCATGGTAATGACAATTTCATGGACCATGATGACAGATTTGAAAATCGAGGCGGAGGTGGCATGATTCAGAACCGTGGCAGGGGAAGGGGTCAGGATGACCGCAGGCGTGGACGAAGAGGAGAAGGGGGTCACAATTTTGGGGGGTCACAAGAGAACTTTAGCAACAAGAGACACTGGGAAGAAGGGCCTGGTGATTTCCGACAGCAGCAAGGAAACCAAGGTCTTTCTGATATGGAAGCAGACCAGTCTGGCGGGTGGGGTCAAAATAATCAAAGAGGGCGTAATTTCTCAAGTCCAGGTCGGGGAGGTAATCGGGGTCGGGGAGGAAGAGGGGGTGACAGAGGAAGGGGTGGTGACAGAGGAAGAGGAGGTGACAGGGGAGGCCATAGAGGGGCAAATAGGGGTGGAGACTGGGGTGGGGGACGAGGCTTTGGGGGAGGGGGAAGGTAACTGGTGATGTCAATTTTGTGTCCATTTTCAAATGATCATTATTTTCAAAATCATTTTCAACTAGAGTAATGTCATTTTGTCCTTAATAAATAAAGCAGCAGAATTTTTCAGTTTTATTTTTTCAAATTTCATCAGTCTGTGTTTTCAAATAATTTGACTTTAAATGTTTGTGTTGATAAGACTGAAAACTGGAGTTAATGCACTGTATGGATGTTCTATGTGTGATATTAAACCTGACTACAGTGTTATTATCAAGTATCAAGTTTTGTAATTAAGTTTGAGTTATCAAAGTGAGAAAAAACATTTTATATTCATTGCATCTGAATTTTCATTCCGAAAGTTTCGTGTGAGATTGTTTATTAAGAAAGACTTAAAACTTTCAGCTTTTCGTCTATAAGAAAGATCATTAAAATTGTCCATTTAATATAAGATGAAGATTTATTTTGTACATGTTCAAGACTTTTGCCCAAATTCTTATATTTCATATAGGTTTGGTTTTAAACCAATACAAAAATTCAACATGACTGCATTCAGCCATCATAGATTTCTGTATGTTAATTGTTTGGTACAACAATTGTTAGCTTTAAAGTGTGCTTTTATGTTTGAAACTCTGAACTTTATATGGTAGTTACCTGGATAAGTCCATTTAAAATTAGGATTGTAGTAAATTTAATATAGCTGCAAAAAGCCATTGTTGATGCCCCTAGCTAAATAATAGTTATTTCATCCCACCTCTTTCTTGTGGAGTTGTTGCCTCCTGTTAAAAATTCATCTTCTTCAAGACAACCACTCCAGAACTTTATTGTTAGATATCAAGGAACATTGACATATGTTTTATGGTTACTGAAATAAGTGTCACTGATTAATCTGTTATATTTAATCATGTTTTAAAGCTGGTTAAAAACAAAAATAAAGGATTAATGTTTCCTTCACATTCCTCAAAGAAACATTTCTGGATAACTACTTAGTAACTTAGTGTATTTATCTGCCTTTCTCATACTTCTGATGATGCCAAATTGACATACTGAAAACATCCACATGAAAAGACAGTCCTATATCCTTAACAGTAGTACCACCCCACACCACCTGGTATGATTAATATGTCTGTGTGGTCAACCGTTGGAGTGTGGGCAGTAATGTCATGATTTGTGTTGTCTTGTTTACAAAGTTGTTCCCCTTATATTGTTTAACTTCAAGTGGAAAATTTTTAATCAAATTTCTGAGTTCCTGTCCATAATTCTATCCTTATTTTTATCCTATCACATATCCCTAGTGGTGACCTTTTGATTTTGGGACTGATAAAAAAAAACTGAAAACAGTTGACAGACAACAATCTTGAACTTGAATGATAAAAGTTTGTTACCACTTTTTAGGGCTGATGTACTGGGTGGATGTTAGTCAGATTCCAGATGTAGGTTCCCCTTAGTCCCTACTTAAGTCTCTTTTATTTACGGACTGATCAGAAGAAATAGCTGACGAGCACCATCTTTGCTTTTTCACAATGAAAGTCTATTATTGCTGTTTCTAGTGATAATATACTGGATGAATCTTTCTCATATTTTGTAAGTAGGTTTCCCATGGTTCCTGGTAGTGCCCTTTTCATTTTGATGCTCAGAAAATGAAGTGACAGACAAGTGACCATCTTGGATTAGACAGTTTAAGATTATTATCTCAAGTTGTTTAGAGAAATTTTAAAAAAGTATTAAGGGCAAAAACAGGAAGTTGACAAAAAATGTGTTATCCAGGATATAGTGTCTACAGCATGAGATGCCAAATTTCCAATGTATTGTTATCTGTCGTTTTGTATATCAAAATTTTTTAATACTCCTTCTAAACTTGGAAAAAATTCAGTTACTTACTTTAGATACATCCTCTCTCATTGATCAGCCTGTTACCACAGGAGTGTCCGACGTTCTGCCAATTAGAGCGTATATAATAATCACTTGAAAATATATCCCATTACTTGTATAGCGAATATTAGATATACTGTTATGGACAAATCATCAGACACCTGTGCTTTTACAGCGCTATCTAATAAAGAGTCATAAAAGGGGAGGTAACTTAAGATAAGGGCATTGCAGTAGGTGAACTGATATCTAGTCGAGTTGCAATATAAATGTACATGTGAATTTTGTTTATGACATTACATATGACAAGATATTTCCTGATTTCTTTTTCATGGTTCATTTGTTCACCATTATCAGTACATGAGGTACTAAACACGTATTTTTGTAGTATTAAGTGACTGTATAGAAATTTTTAATTGTGATATAAAAGCATTGCCTTATAAGTGCTAAGATTTGTAATTATTTGAATTATCTCTTTGTGTATAACTAGAGTTGAAATTTACCTGCTTTCAATTATTTATGTAACTTGATCTCAAACCTGAACATTTCTGTACATTTGACTAATTTGTATCAGGTAGTGTTGTGTAAGTGTCCTGAGATGAGCAGTAAGGGAATTTTTCAGAGAACAGCAGCCTTTTTAGTTCATGTTGAATGGTTGATTCATTTGTGTAATAACCTAAATAATTAGGTATAATGCTTATAGCATATCCATCAGAAAACAGCCTCAGACTTTGTCTGATTCCATAAACTCAGAATTCTGACACCAGAACTGACATTTTGTATCAGGATAAGAAAATACAATTGCTTAAATACAAAATGAGTTAAAAAAAACCAGACAAAATGTCTTTTTTATTTTACTTGGGATTATGTTTAAGCAATGCATGTTGATATTAAGAATTGTATAAATAACGTACTGAAAGTGGGCATTAATCAAATGCTCTCAAGCTAAGACTTTTTGTATGAATTGAAGAAGTTGGTTGGCCTTGATAAGCATTTCTGATCATTATCTTCTGTAAATATCACCTGTTAAAAGGTATGCTGCTGCTCCATGAGTACAGTGTACATGAGTACAGTGTACATGAGAAGTGTCACATTATTCGTGTAAGGAATAATAAATTTACTAAAAAAATAATTGACATATATGTATTTCAATGAAGGCTTTGTGACCTTGAAGGAGACAGAGATAGAGTAATGGTTAAATGTTGACTTTAACCCAGTCTGCAACTACACTAGATACTGACATGTCTATTACCAAGTCAACACCTAATTACACTAGACTGACATATCTATTGCCCAGTCATCACCTAACTACACTAGAGACTGACATATCTATTACCCAGTCACCACTTAACTACACTAGAGACTGACATGTCTGCTACCCAGTCATCACCTAACTACACTAGAGACTGACATATCTATTGCCCAGTCATCACCTAACTACACTAGAGACTGACATGTCTATTACCCAGTCACCACCTAAGTACACTAGAGACTGACATTTCTATTACCCAGTCATCACCTAACTACACTAGAGACTGACATGTCTATTACCCAATCATCACCTAACTACACTAGAGACTGACATGTCTATTACCCAGTCATCACTTAACTACACTAGAGACTGACATGTCTATTACCCAGTCATCACCTAACTACACTAGAGACTGACCTGTTTATTACCCAGTCATCACCTAACTACACCAGAGACTGACATGTCTATTACCCAGTCATCACCTAACTACACTAGAGACTGACATGTCTATTACACAGTCATCACCTAACTACACTAGAAACTGGCATATCTATTACTCAATCATCACCTAACTACACCAGAGACTGACATGTCTGCTACACAGTCATCACCTAACTACACTAGAGACTGACATATCTATTACCCAGTCATCACCTAACTACACTAGAGACTGACATATCTATTACCCAGTCACCACCTAACTACACTAGAGACTGACATGTCTATTACCCAGTCATCACCTAACGACACTAGACTGACATATCTATTACCCAGTCATCACCTAACTACACTAGAGACTGACATATCTATTACCCAGTCACCACCTAACTACACTAGAGACTGACCTGTTTATTACCCAGTCATCACCTAACTACACTAGAGACTGACATGTCTATTACCCAGTCATCACCTAACGACACTAGACTGACATATCTATTACCCAGTCACCACCTAACTACACTAGAGACTGACCTGTTTATTTCCGAGTCATCACCTAACTACACTAGAGACTGACATGTCTGCTACCCAGTCATCACCTAACTACACTAGAGACTGACATATCTATTACCCAGTCACCACATTTATGCACCAGACACTGATATGTCTATTACCCAGTCACCACCTAACTACACTAGAGACTGACATGTCTATTACCCAGTCATCACCTAACTACACTAGAGACTGACATGTCTGCTACCCAGTCATCACCTAACTACACTAGAGACTGACATATCTATTGCCCAGTCATCACCTAACTACACTAGAGACTGACATATCTATTACCCAGTCATCACCTAACTACACTAGAGACTGACCTGTTTATTACCCAATCATCACCTAACTACACCAGAGACTGACCTGTTTATTACCCAGTCATCACCTAACTACACTAGAGACTGACATGTCTGCTACCCAGTCATCACCTAACTACACTAGAGACTGACATGTCTGCTACCCAGTCATCACCTAACTACACTAGAGACTGACATGTTTATTACTCAGTTATCACCTAACTACACTAGAGACTGACCTGTTTATTACCCAGTCATCACCTAACTACACTAGAGACTGACATATCTATTACCCAGTCATCACCTAACTGCACTAGAGACAGACATGTCTGCTACCCAGTCATCACCTAACTACACTAGAGACTGACATATCTATTACCCAGTCACCACCTAACTACACTAGAGACTGACATGTCTATTTTCCAGTCATCACCTAACTACACTAGAGACTGACATGTCTGCTACCCAGTCATCACCTAACTACACTAGAGACTGACCTGTTTATTACCCAGTCATCACCTAACTACACTAGAGACTGACATGTTTATTACCCAGTCATCACCTAACTACACTAGAGACTGACATGTCTATTACCCAGTCATTACCTAA